GTTATTATTTTGCCTTCATCACAATACATGCTTAGTTTCATGCATGCATCCTAAGTTACCGGTACAAAATCTAAAACTTTTGTCTTGTATCTTAGGCTGACTACAATTAATGAATTTTAAATTGCTTTTTTGTTTCACATTAGTAGACATATATCTTTTGGTCCACTCTGTGGACATGAGATGAATTTAAAAGTTTGAGTTTTCTTGTTATTGATATATGATTCAATTTGATGTTAGATATATAGTTTGACAAGATACTTTTGTTACATTGTTGACTGGAATAAATATCAAATTCAGATTCCCTTGCCTCCAAAAATTGATCCAAGTGTTACAATGAAGGCAATAAAGGAAAAGCCGGATGTTACATATAATGGTGTTGGAGGATGTAAGGAGTAGATTGAAAAGATGCGAGAGGTGTGCTATGTATAAATATATCTTCACATGCATCAGAACATATTTTTCTCATTTGTCTTGCTGCAATCTTTCCCATTCCTCTCATGTACTCTCATCAGCCACCTATGGTTTGTTTCTTCAATTGACATGATAGAAGGGCTTTAAATTAAAATGGATATGATTGATTGTGGTAGGTTGTTGAGCTACCCATGCTTCACCCTGAAAAATTTGTGAAGCTCGGGATCGATCCTGCAAAGGGCGTTCTTTGTTATGGTCCTCCAGGTACTGGTAAAACTCTTCTTGCTAGAGCTGTAGCTAATTGAATTGATGCTTGTTTTATTCGTGTTATTGGAAGCGAGCTTGTCCTGAAATATGTTGGTGAGGAAGCTCGGATGGTTCGTGAACTGTTTCAGGTCAAATCTTCATCTTGTCGCTATAATTTATATACTTGTATGAGTGTCTGTTACTTAAGAGTCAGATTTTTTTGTCTGGTGGCAGATGGCACGTTCCAAAAAATCTTGTATTGTGTTCTTTGATGAAGCGGATGACATTGGAGGTGCACGGTTTGATGACGGTGTGGGTGGAGACAATGAGGTTCAGCGCTCCATGCTTGAAATTGTGAACCAGCTGGATGGCTTAGATGCTCATGGGAATATTAATGTTCTGATGGCAACAAATAGGTTTAGTTGGATAGCCTCTGTCATCCTTTCTTTCAGTTTATTTTGCATTACTGTCTGATTTTCATTTTTCATTTTTGTTTGGTGGTGAGGGCTGGTTCGATAATTGACGGTTACATGGTTTATTCAATTTTGAACAAATTCCATGTTGTTGTGCCTGTTTATCTTATTTTCTTTTATAGACTGCAGCTAGTTCCAAAACTTGTTGTTTAACAACATATAATGGACATGAAATATTTTATAAATGAAAAAAAACTTATTTTTCAATTATTTTGTTAGGTTATGTGATGAACATAAAAATGCACTATTTGACTTCTTTTGTGTAGTTTTAAGTTTTTGTTTTGCATATGGTCATCACATGCTCTTCATGGTTATTGGGGGGCAGCTGACTCAAGTTTGAGAAATGTGTTTACCAGCATGTACAATTTTGTCATTTTCTTAAATTTCTCCTTTTGAGGCCGTGGTCTATTCTTACTGTTATTTTAACTTATAATTGGTTTTTTAAAGAGGTCTAATGTTCTTCCTGGAGTTAAACTCTGATCTTAATAATTATTTTTAGTATTTCTAGCTTGTTACAGAAGATTTTACTTGAAAGTCACTTATGATCTGTCTGTTTAAATACTAACTATATATATTATTCAGACCTGACACATTGGATCCAGCTATGTTGCGTCCTGGACGACTAGATTGTAAAGTTAAGTTTGAACTGCCAGATCTTGAAAGTAGGACACAGATACATACAAGAACTATGAATTCTGAAAAAGATTTTGGTTTTTAGTAAAATTTACTATCATCTGATGATTATTGGAGCTTCATTTTTTTGCTGTAATTTTCTGAGCTATTATCCAATTTATTGAATTGATAGTAAGCAATTGGAATTGAGATCTCTTCTTCTGCAGCTGACAACTATAGGAAAATGGTATTTGAAGGGGTGGAGGATCAAGGGGATGGGAAAATCTAGACTGAGCAAGAGATAATATTGAAGTGTGTGTGTATAAAACTATATGATATTCAACTAATTACAAAGTCAGAAAATATGTTGTGGTAGAAAGAGAAAATCAGTTATAGCCAAATAAAACCACATGGTCTTTGACATGAGAGTTTGATTTTCGACATGTCAATTGTGTAACTTCAGTTTTCTCTCTCTTGCAAAAGTAGGCTTGTACGATGGCTTTCAGAAGTCTACCTATGATTAGAGCAGAGAAGACACAAATTTGAAAGTTGTTTGTGTATTAGGTTAATATATATATAGACATACTTCATTATTTGGATGATTTAAACTTGATTTAGATTTTCGAAGGATGGGTTCCTGATCTTTAAAATGATAAATTCCTCGCTCCAGTGTGTGTCTATCTCTCTTTCTGGTGATCCAATGGCCGGCCCAAAAAGACAGCTTTGCAGTGGACGGATGTTTCCTTCATTCTTATTGATGGCTGCATTTTCTATTTGTTTTCCACCAAGTGTAACGATGCTACTTCGAGCACTGACATGACTATTTCTACCCAATCCCAATGAGAGATTACATTTCTCATCTCTACCCTCACCTCCCAGAACCTTTTCCAAGTCGCCACTGATTAGCTTCAGTTCATTTTCTTCTATGTGATCTACAGAAAAGGAAAATGTCAATGTTGAAGGATTTGTATTGATTGGTTCTGTACCTATGGTACCCGTAGCAAGAAATCCATGAAAAAGTTCAGTAAGAGCAGCCAATGATTCTTCTTCAATGATTATTTCTTCCTCTAGCTGCCTCTAGACCGGCAGATGAGTTTCTGAGGCATTTCTCACTTATTGATTTGCCCAAGGGCTTGCTACAATAATTTGTTTTTGGGTAGCATTGTAGGTCGTCCAACGATTTCTGCCCTGTAAGGCATCAAGAATTCAACACTAAAAATAGAGTAACTAGGATAGCTTCTGAGTATATCAGGAGTTATTAGGTCATGTCCTTGTGTTTAGGAAAGAGATGTCAATGAAGAGTCTGGTTGGAAACTTGTTCATGAAGATGTATTTAGGACTCCCCGCTGTTTAAACTTAGGGAGCCCTCAAGAAACCTACAGAGACTGTAAGAATTTCTATCAAGTGACTCCCACTCCAAGAAAATCAATGAATGCCAAGTTGCTCGTGTAATTTTCCATTCTGATCATTATCTTCCCCAAACATGCATAGATTGGCCCTGTTTTTTGCTGCTGATTCAGATGCAGAAACTTTAGAGTGTGAGTTTGAATCTGAATGACCAGATTGATCCACTAACACACCATTTGCCCTAGGGGCCCTTTACCAACTTTTTCTTCTTCCTTTAATTAATCCTACAGCAGAAAGCCAAAAAATAATCAAATATGAAACACCAAAATAAACTAAAAAAGATTGAATTCTTGAAGGAGCAAATAATAATTAATCACATATATGAGATTCCAGTAGATTATTACTAGAAATTGTTGTTGCATTGCCTATTTGGAGATCAGTCATGGGAAATCCCTGCGGTGAGAAATCGGGTTTCCTTCTTCTGTAAGTGCTGTTTTGCTCTTTGTATTTTCTTGCCACGATCACATCACATGCCATTGATTCTTGACTGCATTATCAGTCCTTCTGAGGAATAGCTTAGCAATCAGGGACCATTTGTTGCCATACACTCTGTGTGCAGCCAAAAGTGCTTCTTCTTCTTCATCAGTGAAAGCACTTCTGTTAATCCTTGGATCCAATTGGTTGAACCATCTCAATCTGCAACTTTTCCCTAAAGTAATCAACAAACAGATGAGTAAATAGAAAATAAATAAATAAATAAAACTTTATGATTCCCAAGACTAAATTAATGTTTTTACCTGATCTTCCTTGAAGTTTCTCAGCAATGAGATTCCAGTTTTGAGGACCAAACTGGGCAACAAGTTCTTTGAGTTTAGCATCTTCATGAGGCCTCCAATGGCCTCTGGCACACAGTTTTGTGTGTGCACTTTTCCTTCCAATTTCCTCATCTTCAGTCCTGTAAATTTTCCTCTTGTTTACTCTTCCCTCTGCACTTTTCTAATTTTGCTCCATTGGTGCATTCAAATAATGAAACTCCATTCCACCAATCTCTTTATCCTCGAGAAAGTGCACAGAAGGTGGGTCTATAAAGGTCATTTTTTGAGAAAATCCATTGGAGACACTGTCAGAATTAGAAGAATTCATAAGAAATTGCAGTTTCATTCTGATCACTTAGACAACTTAAAAAGGACATAAAATAATTCAAATTTTTTTTTTTTTTGAGTAGGAAATTAGATTTTCCCCGGTAATCTTATGACAAAGTCACGACGGAGAAGAGACTTCTTATAGATAAAGACCCATTATGTAAAGAGGTAAGATTTTCATTCCGAAGGTTGCAGTAGAGGAAAGAGAAAAATGGAGATGCATGGATTTTTAGAGAGCAAAACTGTAAAAAACAAAACAAAGAAAAGTAGATGACGAAACATGAAACGTCTCAAAATCAGTAGTGTTAGCTTTTGGTTTTTTTATGTTGTCAAAGAGTTGAACAATGATTTTTCGTGTTGTCAAAGATTTGAACAATGAAAATAGATGACAAGTGCTTAATCAAATCAGGTCATGTAGAAATCGTCGCTAGAATTGAGATTTTATTCGAAGTGAAAGATATCAAATATCTGGAGAATGAATCCTAAATGTGCTTTTATGAAGTTCAGAATGGGTAATTTCAAGGGAAGAATGAGAATTGAAAAAATGGACCGTATTGAATTGAGCCAAATTTGATTAGCTAGAACAATTAAATGAAAACTTTGTTGCATATTCTTGCACAATGGAATATGAATGGAGGGGATTATCTTCTTCTATTCACAACTGATAGACAATGCTTTTGATAGAATCCTTGCTTCAATTCCTTTGAAGGGTTAGGTAATATTAGTTCTTCATGTCCCACGTTTTAGGTACTTTATAGTGGGAAAAACGTCAAAGTTGTAAAAAAAAAAAAAANNNNAACTTAGAACATAACTCCAAATGCAGTGGTATCATCACTACATAAGAACATCCTTATAATAAAAGAAATGTTGTGCCTTTCTTGTTGAATTTGTTTGTGAGTTATTCAAATAATTCTAACAATTTTCTAATCGAATTTCTTACTTTTGTATACTTCTAGAAGACCATATCTTCAGCTGAGAAAAAAAAATCAAATTTTTTGATTAATGGACCAATATGATCAATGATACATCGTGGATAATATGTTTAAAATCTTGATAAAGCTGCAAAGATGGGCGATAAATTAAACTATATCATGGTATGCTAATTTCTCCTTTGTGTTTTCCTTTTATTGTTCGATTTTATTTGGTAGATTCTGTCGGACAAGAAAGGCAGATACTAAAATACTAAAATGTCAAAAGGTTTTATACTTTGCAATAATAATTTGATTTTCTTTGTTCATTAGATTGATGAAATCTTTTGTTAGATATCAAGAGGTAAACAAGGTGATACCAGAGTTAAAACACTTTTTTTTTCTGTTCTGGTTGCAGGAATATAGGAATAAGTTGACTAAAAGTGAAACAATTGCCATCAGGATATCAAATGTTGCAAATATGCTTCTTCTTCCAGAGCATATCAAATGTTGCAAACAATTGCCATAGGGATATCAAATGTTGCAAACAATT